AATCATAAACCAATCTTATGAAGAAGGGGAGTTCCCACAAGAAAATAAACTAACAGAAATTATACCAATTTATAAATCAGGACCCGTGAAAAACGAAACGTATATGTGTCATATAATTCCCATACACGTCCCGTATATGACCGGAAGATGCTGTATATGTAACATATACAGTGCCATATATGTGGACATATATGCTACCATATATGGGCTGCATTTACTGTATATGGGAGAAATTCGACGTATATGGGGGTAGTCTGCCGTATATGGGTCCATTTTGTGAACATATATGTCATCATATATGGGTTTAGGTCGACCTAAAGACGACCCAGGAAACTATCGACCTATTGCTATTTTATCAGCACCATCAAGAGTACATGAAAAAGCAATGTATAAAAGACTGAATAGACATCTGCAAGATATAAATTTCTTCTATAAAAGTCAATATGGGTTCCGTAGTAACAAGGATACACAAGGAGCAATATTTGACCTTATCAACTGCCTTCAGTTAAGTCTAGACAGAAATCTCAAAACGGCGGCTCTCTTTATCGACCTCAAGAAAGCATTCGATACTGTAGATCACAAAATCCTACTGGACAAACTACATAAGATTGGAGTAACTGGAAAATCCTGGGACTGGTTTAAATCCTATCTCAGTAACCGGAGGCAGTATGTTAGAATAAATGCAACTACTTGTTCAATTCTCAATATCATCTGCGGTGTGCCACAAGGCTCAGTACTGGGACCTCTACTCTTCTTGATATATATCAATGACATGGGATACCTACAGCTGAATGGGAAGTTGCAACTATTTGCTGATGATACTGTCATCATATACGAAGCCACTAGTTACCAACAACTACAGCAAGCTATGATGGAAGACCTTTTAATATTAGAGAAGTGGTTCAGTCTGAATAAGCTAAGTTTTAATATCAAGAAAACTACATACATGCTATTCCAGAAACAAGATTCTAATATCAATGATCTTGATATAAAACTCGGAGATTACAACCTAGAAAGAGCAAGAGATTTCAAGTATTTAGGCTTATACCTCGATGAGCGTCTTAAATGGTCTAACCACATTAGGCATCTGCTACCTAAATTGAGAGCTGTCAGTAGGTTGATCTTTAGATTGCGGAAAACACTACAGTACCATCAGTTAAAGAACCTATACTATGCCTACTTCCACTCCCATATCTCTTATATGAGCTTCACGTGGGGTCTCACCAACCAGCTCTTGGTCAACAAAGTTAGAGTACTCCAAAATGGTATAATAAAAACTATGCTTGGAGTAGATAGAAGCTTCCATACAAGTCAGATTTACCAACTTACTCTGATACCACCAGTGGATGTACTTTGCAAAACAAAGTTGCTCTCCATCATAATTAACCACCTGAGAGGTGTGAAGTGCCTAAATACAGAGTTGACCAGCAGTGGGAATATAACCCAAAGAAAGACAAGATCTGAAAACCTGCTGAGGCTTCCTTCAGTCAACAGCAACTATGGGCTGCATGGAGTCCTCTACCAGTCTATCTGCCTTTTTAATAGTTTACCATCTCATGAATTCTCAGCACTATCCATACCCAATACCAGCATCATAACTATCAAAAAACTTATAAAAAACTATCTGATGAAATCATACTTTAATAATAGCCTTCCAATTTACATGTACTCCTCTTAAGCAGTCATCTCATCATAATACCATCATCTTTTTCACCTTCCCATAAAATAATCAAATCTTGTTTGTTCTATGCACTCATATTTATTTCTATTAAAATGTTATATAAAAAAAAAAACTGAGCCGGTCACGCCAAATTCTATAAAATTGTTATAGTCCATAACAGAGCTTGCTCTTCGGACACCCTTTGTTGCCAAATAAAATAAAAAAATAATAAAAATAATAATAACAATAATAATAATAATGAATAAAGGAATAGTATTAAAATTGAGCTCCATACTTACATTCCTTGCCCTTTCGTTCATGAGTCAGGTGCGTTCTTAGAATGTAGGTGGGCTCAAAGTTCACAGTCCCTTCCAAACAATTTAATGTACAATATCCTACAACAAGAAATGTTTTAAAAATTAATGAGTTACATGCACTTTCATAAAAATAAAGGGGTCAATTTAAAATTAAAATACTTGCCATAAGCAGATGTAGGGATATCTTTAGAGACCATCACCTTCCCTCTGTGTTTGGCTCCCCGTTCTGTACAACAGAGTCCCGGATGACTGACCAAGTTGCCAAGACCAAGTCCACAATTTTTGTGAACAGGGTTTTTGGGTCATGCAAATAATCACCCTTTAAATAGTTTAGGGTGGCCCCATTCAGATACACTGAACTCCCATTCACCACTGGCATCTGAAATATAATTTTAAAGGATCAGACTTGCAAATTTATTCAAAAGTAATTTGTATCACAGGTGAAACAATGTAGCGATTTTCCATGGTTTGCTTACATCAGCAGGCTCCATTTTCCAGCATGGCAGATTGTCCATTCTCTCCTGCAGTGCTATTTGTTCTGCTGGCTGAAGGCGCTTGGGTTGTCGGCAAACTTTTTTTTTTTTTTGTGGGACAGCAGGGAGTTGGTCTGAACAAAATCACATTTAACAACTATAAATTTTCTAGACATACTTAAAAACTGCAGAAATTGTAACTCTGTAGACACTCACCTCCATCCGCAATACGTTGTGCAACATCTTGCATGTGTTGCTCTCTTTGGGCAGGACCAGAGTTTGCCTTTTCCTTCCGTCTTTCCTTGTGGATTGATTCCACCAGCACCACATCAGGAAGAACTAGGTCTCCGGGCTTGTAGACCTGCCCTGCCGAACCTACCTTAAGTTCCTCTATTTTCCCCTTTGTACCTAAGAAACAGGGAGTAAGAAAAAAAAACATAAAGAAGTGACACAACAAGAAAAGTATTCACGATTTGCACAAAATTTTTGCACTTACCAACGACGAGGACCCGAACAGAGAATACCTCTCGTGATCTCCCGGGTTTCACGTCTACCTGGGCACCAACTTTCAAGGCCGGCTTTTGCCCTTGCCCAGCTTGCACATCGTCCTCGCGGTAGACTTTGGCAGAGGGCGGCTTTGCGTGGAAGCCCAAGAAGTAAATGAATCGGGCAGGACGCACCATGGACGCTCGGAGGTTCTGAGGGCACATCACACATTACGGTTACAATCAGCCCAGAGGGTCAACAAATATTAACCGAAATTATAATTCAACGCAAGGTTTGAACGTTAGAAACTATTCAAGACCATAACATATTACAAAAACAACAAAATTACTCCATAAAATCATTTTTTAGCCCGCCCTTCTGCATTGAAAAAGCTATCCAGCGGGCTTATGCTAACGACCTCGTGTGTGTCTGTCTGTGTGTCTGTCTGTCTGTCTGTCTGTTCCACTAGAAGGAGATGTGCTAGAGACTAGAAATTTTCAGGGTATCTTAAGGTCCACTCCTAGAGAACGAAACGCCTACGGCAAATCCTGGAAACCATCCCTATGGGTCTGATTGGGGGTATCCAAGGTCCAAAACTCTCCCAAAAAGTAGTTTTTTTAATGTTCTCCTAAGGGGTACCTCGTGAGAGTAGAGCCCTTCGGGCGGAAATTTCGTCCGTCTTGCTCTATCTCTAACCGTTTAGGCGCTAGATGGTCTTTTGACGAAAATAAGCTAAGAATTGCCATAGTGAACAATAAGTTGTAGAAAAAGGGGTAATTGTTTACTTGAGTGACTCCTCGCCCTGGAGTCACTCAAGTATACCATCGGAAAGGTATTTTTCAGTAGAATCCTGAATAGTATTTATAAATTGGCGCTCGAGTCTGGTTTTCCTCAAAATTAAATAAATATGCGTCGCCGCTAACCTTCAGATGCACTTTGAAGACGGCAGAATAACTTACGTTTACGGCTAGTCCTGACG